ACTTACAACTTTAAATGGCACACAAGCACAATAGCATTCACACATGGTATTTAAGTAATGAATCCTACTTCCCATGCCGAAACCGCCACTGCTCGGCGTCCGTGCCACTTGTCTTAGCACAATATCATCAACACACGGAAGTGTTAGGGCGCCATTATAAACAAAGAATTGTTCCTAGTAGTTACTCACAGCTACATTATTTAAAAAACTTACAGTTAATCTGAAGAAACACCCAAGAAAAAATACCAATGAGGATGTCCTGTCATCGTAGTTTTGATTACGAAATCAAGCAACAAAACAAAATTAAATACAAAAGGATTTAGTCCCCATTCTTTAAGTTGAAGAATTAATTTAAAAATATGTGATTATCTATTGTTATTATTATAATATGTAATTATTTTGATTATTGCCAGTATCAAAATCTTGGTAATGTGGTTCAAGAAAATCGCAACACGTGGTTGCGCACAAAAAGCTTTTACGTTTCGTCGAATCCACGGCGGTGGTTGTTTGTTCACGAATAAAAAGGCTATGAGAGGTGGATCGGTCGTTCCTTGTGCCATGTAGTGCGGTGCAAAGAAAGAGCGATTATCTGAGTTTTAACATACTTTAATAAATAAGACAAATACGACCACTCGCGCCTGTTCAGCGCAATAATGCCTTCTCTAGTAAGTATTCTCGCGTAGGGTTGTCACATTATTCTTTTAGTTGCACCTACAGGTTGTAAACATAATTTTAAAAAAATAAAGTTTTCATCACATTATTCTCGTGTTACATTGAAATTACCTTTTTTTTATGTAAAGACGGAGGCAAACGAGCAGACGAGTCACGTGATAGGAGGTGGTTATCGTCGCCCATGGACATTTGCAACATTAGATGGGCTGCCTATGCGTTGCCAGCCTTTGAGAGCCCTGTATATCTATACATCAGCATAGTTAAATTGGTATCTCGATTATGTATGATTGGGAAATAAAAATCAAATGCTGAACAATTCTGAATTTAAACACCGAGCGACTGATACATTTCTGTAATGAATGGCGTGTGCGACTTGAGTGCATCACGAGATTTTGAGATTACCGCCCGTCCGTACATGGTGCGCACCGGGCGTGCACACATACAAAACGCGCTGCTACGTTTGTATGGAGTTACCTTCCCTACCTACTTGTCTTATTATACTATGGTTTTAATTTATTTTTACATTAACTATACGGTTTATTTAGTACGTAATTATTAAATAGGTAGGCTATTAATTAAAACTAAAACGATATGCAAGATATTACGCCTTTGTAAATTTTAATAATAACAATTTACGATATATACCTAAATATGTGTGTTAAATATAACAAATACAAAGTGTATTTGACTTTTGCCATGTAATAAGGGTATATAAGGTTAGAATAGAATCGATCAGTAGGATATATGACTGGGTATACAATTCCTTTAGCAAGGGTATATTCAACAATAATATAAAATATATTATAGTAAACAAGTAATTTAAATCCTTGCATACCTACCTTAGTAACGAGCCATTACTAAAATGTGTTTTACGGTGGAGTATGTACACAAGTATATATCGTTGTATGCAAGGTAATATAGGTGTATAAAGATTAAACTACTGTGGTATAAATAAATAAATTGGCACAAAGATTATTTACATTGAAATATAAAGAATAAAAAATAGACTCTTAATATTTTAGCGTTTTATTGCACTTTATTAACAGGTACCTTTCCATAATGTATATAACAAACTCGGTAAAACTCTATTCCATACTAATGTATATTTACGGAGTAACAAATTCGGTATAGCACTTTCAAATGTTTCAAATTAAAGATATAAGAATTATCATTTAGCCACGAACATTAAGTATAATGATTTAAACAATACGATGCAAGAAAACTTGGTCAGCGGGGCAGGCATGTGGACTGCCAACTAATTCACTTTACTGTGTACCACACACAGAATGAACGTTTATGTCGACTCGACACGGCTAAACATTGGCGCAGCCAACTTTTTTCCCTTAGTCACATTATATTACGAGAAGAGCAACCAATATAGTATTTCGTTCTTTAGTCAGAAACGGCTCTTCTTCGCTCCGCTTTTAACATATTACTAACAAGAATTTATTTGGTTAGAGTTCACATGGTTTGTAAATGAGTGGGAGAACCACTAAGAACAATAACGAAAAGTGACCAAAATGCGGCCGTGCGCTAAAATATTTTTATACAAACAGCCTAAGTACATCAGTCTTGGTTATAAGGAACTTTGAACTTATTAAGTTGCACCAAAACGTGGAGTATCTTCATCCGACTGGATTTTTCCACCGTTATGAGGTGGATCCGGGGGCGAGGCGTTCTGCTCTACGTTTAAATACAAACCAGTGCCGGCTTTACCTATAGTGCAGGGTATGCAGTGCACACCGATGCAAGGCCTTAGGGGGCGTCGAGCGCCGCTCGCGGCACCTCCAAAGAGCCTGTGTCGCTCGCAGCGCAAGCGAAGTAAACGTGCTAGTGCCTCCCAACATTATTTGTAATTGCACCCAAATTTCCGATCAGTGGAATATAATAATATTCTATTCTGATCGCGGGCCTATTAGATGGCGCAAGGGTATTGATTGCACCCGGGCGCTAAATGGTCCGGCCAGCGCCGGCGCTGGTATAAACCCTAAAGCCTCGTCTCTTCTAATCTTGCATCATACAGAGCAGAAAAAATGAGCGAAAGGAATTATTGTTAACTAAATAAGCATCCAAAATAATATAAAATAACACGTTGAAGTGAACTTGAGATTTCTGATTAAGAGAAAGTTGATTTCAATGTATGAGGGCTTCGTAAATTGCAGTTTCACTTCACAAGGTAATTGTTAGGGAATTTTTTAATGTATCATTGTTTTTATAAAAAAAATATGCACAACTCCGGTGACCTAAGCTTGATATTACTGTTATTCTATGTATGTTTAAGAAACAGAAATTGCATTTTGCTAATAAATTTATTATCAGGTAATCAAACTTAATTCTAATGAGTTGCGGGCCCACCTGAGGCTGGTGATATTTTTACCGTTCCACTACAGTGTGTCTCACAGTAACTTACGATATCCCTTAACTAACATACAATACTACGCGACATTGAAAAACAGTAAATATACTGTTAATATACAATTGTATTTATAAAATCTAGGGTCGGCAGAATAAAGCACATAAGCCAAAAATCAAATCATTCATTTAAATAATACATCGACGGTCTAAATCTTTTATAAGCAGTGATCGAAATTCAGGGAGTTACATAACCTAAAATTCGAGTAACGTAAAGAATAATATGGACATTCTTTTCTAGAAATCCTGGAACTTCTTAGAACTGATTTTATTTGAATATGTGTATTATTGACATATTTGATAAATAATTATTATTACATTATTATTTTAATTATTGTCTCCAAAATTAATATTACAGTTGTGTTTCTGTACGTGCGACTTAGCAAAAGATTTCACAAGAGTGCTTTGCATGTATATTCGCTGTACAAAGACGTTATTGCTTTCTCTTTCACATAGCATAAAAATCAATAACGGCTATCTCTTTTACACAGTACGAAAACAAGATAAGATAAACAATAGAAACCATTGCCGTTATCAAATATTGGCGATTGCTCTTGTTTGACATTTTGTTTTTTTAACATCAGCTGCTAAGACTGTTGTTAGTTTTATTTTCAAACACATGTCTTCCCAGGGTCTAGTCTTTTTAAAGATATTAATCACATACTCAACAGATCACCCGGATGGCGTATATCTTGTTCTAGATACCTCCTTCTTCCAATCTTAGATATTTCTCAATTATAATTACTATAATGAATACATACATATAAACGAAAAAAAATGCCTATATTAATTTTCTTCGTCGTCTAAATTCTATATTCCGAATCCCCGGGACTTTTTGGCCATATCACAAAATGGGTATGTTCATACTAAACAATGTCCAAAATTTAGGTAAATTAATTCCCTCAATTCAGATCATTGTTTATAGGTCAAATTCATTTGTTTCAACTTAAATTGTAGTGGCGTCTTCTTCAGCCATATTATTCACATCTTCTGTCAGTATAAGGGTAATTTTCAGGTTAGGCTCAAATCATTGCGGCGGAATGGAATGGAAGCGAATTTTTTGTAACGATATTGTACATACTGTAATGAACTTTATGGTCAATTGTGTAACGTACAAACTAGATACGAACCAACAGTCTCGTCTTAAGTGGAATTCTCGCGCATTCACGAGAATTCCGCAGCTGACGTCGGCGACACCTGGCGCAGTGTGACGTCAAACGTTGACGAAATTCTACAGTCTCAAGGCGCAGACGCGAGAATGCTCGAGCATTCCAGCGACCGCGTGCACCTTCTCGCGCTGCGAGGCGAAATTGACTCTTCCGTTCCATTCCATTCCGCCGCAAAGTAAATTGAACCGTAGTTTTCAATACCAATTTCGATGGCAAATTTTAGTATTTGAGCATATTATCGATATTACGCTTATGAATATTAAATAATACTTTATGATAATAGTCTTATGAAAATAATAAAAATTTACATAGAAATTAGGTACAAAATCTAACCTAAAAATTACCCACAAACATAAAAAATAAAAATATATTCAAAAAATTAAGCATTTTTTAATTGTGTGCTAAAATCTGCTGACCCTAGAAATAATATTGCAATGAGCGACTAAAGATATTGTAATATCTTTTTTGTTTGTTGAAATCACAGATATGAACAATAAAATTATTAGTTAGCCACATATTAGATTATTGTTAAATGTACAAGTGTAAACACTCATTTTCAGTCAGATAAACCACAAAATATTTCAAACAGAATTAAATAGTTAATTAATACCTGTAGTGAAATTTTAAATTTTAATCGAAATGATATTCAATTATTTATGTGAAATAACTCCACTAGTTTGTTATAATTATTAACACAAAGATCGAACACTCAGAAAAAATTCCTTCAATCCGGCCGGATTCGAACCGACGAATCTTCTAGCATACCGTGTCAGACGCCATACCAAATAAGCCACGGAACGAACCAGCGGACCTCACGAATTTTTCTATGTGCTTGTCGTGTCTTTGTATTTGGTGTTTCAACGACGTTTTAGTCGTAGCTCCATCTATGAGAAATCTATGAAAGTTCTATCACCCAGTTAGATGCCTTTACAGCTACCAGCCCTGGCGAGAAATATCGCTATTCACTGTATTTTCAATTTTAATTGAATTGATATTCAATTATTTTTGTAAAATTACTACACTGGTTTGTTATAACAAGTAACACAAAGATCGAACACTCAGAAAAAAAAAGTTGTGAAGACTCCAAAACATATAAATAGTGCCTACATGCCTCTACAGAGTGCAACCTAAACAATATAGGTATAGTCTAAAAAAGAATGGTGGTATATCTCCATACAAGCACGTCAATTTCGTGCTCTGTTGGGATATGTTCTGAACTCACAGAAGTCAGTGATAAATAGTGAGACACTTGCAAATGTGAAATAGGCTTGCTTGTATGGTAACAATAATACCTTACTCCTTCTCTTTATAACTTCATTATACTATCCCTTTACACATAATATGTAGTATTGAACTACTTGTTTGGCGATTCAGGTTCAGCAAAGATTTTTCCCCATCCAATGTACAAGAAAACAGTGGAGTAAGAATAAGTCATGTCCTTCAAAGGGTCTTGACGAGCGCGTTTAGACATTTGACCATGGGAACAGCTTCTTGGTGGGTGGTTGATACCGATTTCCCCGTTGCCGTAGCAACCCACCAGCGGCGTCTGTGGGAACGCAACGCGGAAGTACTCTTGCTCTATTTCGTGTTTCTTGTCTCTGCCGATGCATGATAACTTTAATGCTACACTGTGCTCGAAGTGTGGTACTTTCTTTGCAAACTGTAAGTTATAAAATAAATATTAAATAGTTATTACACAAAATTTCTCACTAAATAAGAGGAAAATAAATCAATAGTAAAAAGTCAACATGACATTCAGTGTGAAATGTCAAATTTTATAACATTTCGAAAACCATTCGTTAACTTCAGAAGCCGAAACACAGTGAATGAGTTTCAAAATGTATAGAATTTGATATTCTAATAAGGATGTCTCTCGAGTACGATATTTTGGAACCTGCATTAATATGAAAAGAGTCAAAAGGTAATTTTCAGGTTAGTTTTCTTTACCTAATTTTGGTGGCAATTTTTTTATTTAAATATTTTAGAATATTATCATGAAGTATTATTTAACATTCGAGTGCGCGAGCGCATGTGTGAGTAAGTGTCGGTCGCTGTGTGTCATATTATGTTAAAATCCAGAATACGATGACTAGAATTGTGTACACCAAGGTACATAGGTAAGTGTAGTGTATAAAAGTATTTATTTTATAACTTAAGTAATAATCTTCATTAGAGCCTCAGTATCTTTATAATTTAACATGTGTTGCCATCGAATCACTGATCTTTTACAGTCATGTAAGTTAATGTGATAGATGTTTAAGATTTTACTTATATGGTTATATAAAAGAGTTGATTGCTTTATTTTATTACAATTATTTAATATTTCAAAATAATATACTCGAATACTTAAATAATAAAATTTGCCACCGAAATTAAGTAGAGGAAACTAACCTGAAAATTATCCTAAAATACCCACACAGGAACACAGGTCCATATTGTTTGCACGTATTGGAAGGTGCATTATAGAATATCAGTTAACTAAATTTGTTTATTTTAATAATTTTACGTGTAGTTATTTAATTTGAACTGAATAAAAACCTAGTTATAATGGGCATGCTGTATTTTTCTCAAATCATTTACACGTGTCACAGGTCTCCCCTCAAGCGAGGGTTTAGACCATAGTCCGCCACTCTGGCCCAATGCAGATTGGAGACTTCACACGTTCTCCGAGGGTTTAAACTTTCTTCGACATACAGGTTTCATCATGATGTTTTCATGATTTCCTTCACTGAAAAGCTCATGATAAATTTCAAATTAAATTTCCCACATAAATTCCGAAACTCAGGGGTGCGGCTCCGGATTCGATCGAACCCATGGCCATCTGCTTGAGAGACAGTAGATCAAACCATTAGGCGACCACGACTTCAGAGCATGTATTATTCAAGTATATTAACTTACATCATTGATAATCTCCTGAATCTTAGGCTTGGTCCATTCACATTTTTGAATCACAAGTGAAAACATATCAAAGTTGTAATTCTCTCTATTATCTGACCCGTCATCATTCTTTGGGATAGTGAAAACTCCAATAGAAATGAGGTTATTACTGGCGTAGTCGATGCCGTCATTTATTCCTTTAATCATTTCATCAATTTGACTTTGTTGGAGTATTGTGTCTTCAATTATACACCCTGCTAAAGCAAAGGGAATTTCTTGTTGCCTGAAATAAGAAACATTGAAATTTAATGGTAATCTATAAAAATTAAGGATAAGATGGGTAATTTTTAGGTTAGTTTTCTCTGCCTACTTTCAGTGGCAATTGATTATTTGGGTATATTATTGTGAAATTTTAAATAATATTCCTGGATACTACACTTGAATATTAAGAATACTTTAAATACTTTATGATAATATTCTAGAATATTTAAATTACACAAATTGCAACCAAAATTAGGTAAAGAAAACCATCCTCAAAATGACCCAGATATAAAACCCACTCTCATGGGGCAGGAAAAAAAAGTCCTTATAATAAGTCTGGTAGATTTTGATTAGATACCTAATCAAAATCTACCAGACTTATTTATCGGATTTTAGACAGTAACACTAATGCAACAATTTTTTTAAATACTTCAACAGTTTTGTAACCTTGAAAGACAAAATAAAATATGTATACTATATATAACTGTGATATAATATAATGCATTATTTAATGACAATGTTTGTTTTTGCTAAAGAAACGAAACAATAGAAAAAAGGAAACTTACAATAGTTTGAAATAATTCAGCAATGTAATTCCTTCAAAGGATTGCAAAATATAATATTGTGTAGCATACACAAGGACCCCTTTGAAGATGCGTGTCTCAGCCAGTTTTTCCAACACGTCATAAAAATCATCTTGGAAATCCATAGTGTTTCTATTCTTCTGCTTGATGTTTAATACATGAAACTGGACATTAGGAATGTCGGGAATGTAGATTCCCCCAATGAATGGCTTGCTTCCTTGCTTATGGTAGTGACGTAGAACATTTGAATATGTTACAGAACTGGGCAAGGGCATGAATGTCAGGAAGCTTGTTACTACTGTGAACATGCAGTCCTTTGGAGCACAAAGTCGTTGGTGTATTACATCCAGTACTAAAACAAAAGAAATTATTTAGTTACGGCAAGGTGTATTATTGTGAACAATACAGAGAGTTGTTCAACTATTCCAGAGGACCAGCTTTAGCCTACTCAGACCAGAAACAGGTAGGTCCAAGTGTACTACTATACAGGAAGATTCGGCAGAAAAGTTTTCAAACAAATTAACATTTTGTCTCTATTTCTGGTTATATGCTCGATATTATTAATATTGTTATTATTACATAGTACGGCGTAGGAGTGACTTACTAGAATGTAGTTTTGCTTTACAAGGGGTCTTGCAAGGACAAGGGATGATATCTTTGCAATAAGCCGTCATAGCCGACCCAGCATTATTCACAAACACAAGTACCGCCATAGGTGCTTTATGAAAATCATTCGATTTTATTAATCTATCATGATCAAAGACTTTACGTTGCATGTTATAAACAAAGTCTACCAAGTGGAAATGCTCCCGTACTAATGAGTTTACCGCTGATCTCCAAGTAGTGCACACATGCTTGCATAACCCCTTGTCTTGCCAAGATAGGTTGCTCAGTATTTCCTTGGCTATAATATAATTCGACATTGCCTTCTCCACTATCGCATTGTCACAAGATATTGGTGTATCATCTCTGATGAGTTCCCGCTTCTCACAGTATGCTGCTATATGTTCAGGCAACGATAGTTTACTACATATAGGTCTGTTACTTGGCAATGTAGATTTGTCAGCCGAAATCTTTCTAAGACGTCTTAGTACCGGTCCATTCGATTCCTCACTTTCATCAGACCCGCTGTCGTCATTTACTTGCGGAAGTGGGTTTTCCGCCATGTTAAGGTTTAATCTCTGTTATAAACTCGTCGTCGTTTTGGCGAGGTATCGGATTTCCTTTGAGAATTGCGAGAATGAAACAATACAGGTACATAAAAAACAAAATGAAGTAATATGCAAGATTGATCAAAACATGTCTCATGTGTCTTCTGAGTTGCCTACTGTTATGAATCTCTGCTGGGTCGTACGCGCCCAAATCTCCACTCGGTGTGGTAAAATACTGAAATGTCAACCATACAAACATCGGCAAGTTACATAGGAACAGCCACAATCGCAAATGATACAACAAAATGAATGTACTTAAGGTGTGCACGATAAACTTCGGTAGCATCCAATAGTTCAACTTATCGCAACATTCTTGCGCGTTCAAATAGTCGCACTCAAGGTCCGTTAAAGTAATTACGAAGTAAATTAAAAGAAACAAAATGGCAAGGCATGCAGTCAATGAGATAGCAAACAACAAAGTTTCCGAAAATATCATAACTTCACACCAACGGCATAAAAAGCGAAGATACTGCTAAAGTGATTCAATGTAAATCATTCAGAACTCTAAAATCATTTTAATAAAACAATCACCGAGTAAACAATTTCGGAAATATTGATTTTGCTATACTCTTAAAACGATGACGCACTTTCAACTACTCCACAAATTAGAAAGATATATACTCCTCATGACAGTGACTTTTCAACAAAAACCATGGCAGGCAAATTTTTTTTTATTTATTTCTGGCCATGGAAACAAAGTCCTTCAGCCGAAAACATAAAAATAAGTTTTTCTGTAAATATGGCCGCCACAAAGAGGATAGGCAATTTGAGGCGACGTGCTTGGATTAACTCGGGATTCCTTGGAACGGGCCGATACGGGTATTTTTCGAGATTCGCATAATTTCGCGTTTTAATCTTCGATTAAGGCACAATAGCACTATCCTATTCCACTTTAAACTAGATTTCACAAAATAATTAAAAGTCAAAATAAAAACGACACTTTTCCCTCCAAAAGGTCCAGAGCCATGGCAGGCAAACCCTAGCCATTGTTGCCATGCCACATTCTTCATCATTTTGAATCTACTTACATAATTATTTAACACATAATTTTAAACGAGCCTTCGTATAACATCATTGAGCCTTCGTGTTATATTTTTGAAATTTATCAGAAATATTTCCCGAAAAATGTCCACTATTTGAAATTTTTCCGAAAATTACATAACAGTACTTATTATTGGCTACCACAGATAGCTACTTTTCAGTAATGAACTCTATCACAGTCGTGAACACAATATACAAATTAGAAAGATATAATCATTGACTTACAAATAAAATAATGTATAGTTATTTATGTCAATGATTGATTAGATATAATTCATATAATACACAATGATCTTCCAAACCTGACATAAAAAAGATCATTTGTTAAACCGCTACATTATTTCTGTATAAACTGTTGTAGTTATTGTTGTTAGCGCGACCATGGTCGAGTTTTTGAAATTTGGCTAGCCAGATAAATAGTCGCCGTTTAGTCGGTTATATGACTTATATGTCACAATAAACTATAGATTAATAATAATAATCTTTTAGGCCTTGGGAGAGGCGAGAGTTTAAAATAAATACAATAATAATAATAAAGCACACACTCAACATAGCCCCGCACTAGGGAAACCCTGTGTTGCGGGTGCCATGGACACACACATAGACACCCACAAATTACACACAAACTCACGAGAGAAATAAATGTAGGCAATACAAATATTTCTCCCGGCCCGGGAATCGAACCCGGGGACCTCTGCGCGGCAGTCCGGTGTGGTAACCGTTCGGCCACAGAGGATTTAGTCCATAGTTTACCAAAGTGGTCCCTACCGCCCCCTAGTGGGCGCTGAAGAGTCCTTACGGGGGCGGTTGGAGCCTCGGAAGCAATTGGGAGCGTTCACGCTGTCCAGATGGAGGACGGATACCGCTTTTGAAAAAAAACTGAATTATCTATATAAACTACACAACATTTTTTTTTCAGATTTTTTGTGCTTATTAAGTTAATGTAAAAAATACCTACATGTTTTTAATTATTTTTTGTGGTGGTGGGTGATGAAATTTTTTTATGTTGCCTAAGTGAGCGGTGAGCTGAAAAATTTGGGAACCTATGATTTAGTCGGTTCGCCTCGATGTTCAAAAGTTAAGGGTGGTTTACTGTTCACGCTGGAATAAGCTTAGATCTGATTACACTAAAAAAAGTCGTGATAGTCGGTTCTAGTCGTAAAAAACTAATTTTAGTTGTTACGTCGTTTTGATGTTATTAAAGTGTTTTACTGTCCACCCTGGTTATAAGTTTATTCCGGCGGCGACGGCACCATTTTTGAATCTCGAGAACTAAGCTCCTAGCTTAGATCCGATTGCATCCAAAAAAAGTAATGAATTAGTCGGTTCTAGTCGCGAAATTTAAAAATTAGTCGCTCCTTGGTTTAGAAGATACAACCGACTTATTATCTCAAGGTTATTTATACCTGTGTAAGGGTCTTATTCTAGAACTCTACTCAATGCTCAAGTCAGGACTTGAGTATGATTCAAAGCACTAGAAATCATATTCAAGTCCTTGCCATTAGGGTCGTATTTCCAGTGCTTGAAATCATACTCAAGTCTGCTCAAATCCTGACTTGAGCATTGAGTAGAGTTCTGGAATACGACTCTAAGGGTCGTATTCTAGAACTCAACTCAATGCTCAAGTCAGGATTGCCCTGGCAACACAAGCACTGGAAATACGACCCTAATGGCAGGGACTTGAGTATGATTTCGAGTGCTGTAAACCATTCTCAAATCCTGACTTGAGCATTGAGTAGAGTTCTAGAATACGACCCTAAGGCTCGTATTCTAGAACTCTACTCAATGCTCAAGTCAGGATTGCAATTGAAACACAAGCACTGGAAATACGACCCTAATGGCAGGGAGTTGAGTATGATTTCGAGTGCTTTAAACCATACTCATATCCTGACTTGAGCATTGAGTAGATTTCTAGAATACGACCTTAAGGGTCGTATTCTAGAACTCTACTCAATGCTCAATTCATGATTTGAGTATGGTTTAAAGCACTCGAAATCATACTCAAGTGATTGTGTTTCCAGTACAATCCTGACTTGAGCATTGAGTAGAGATCCACAGATCCCCACTGGCTGCGTAGCAAGTATAAGGGGATTTGTAGAGTGAAATTGAATGGATTTGTGTGGAATAAACAGGTTTTTGTTGGTAGGTTTTAACATATTACTATAGATAATGTTGATTCGTGTCAGAGGTTTAAAAGAAACAGTATTAATTGTGTCAAAAACGTTTTATTTTAACATTCGCTCCTTAAGCTAATAAAGGCTAAGTAAATATTTACAAGGCTTCATTAATTACAGGGCAAGGTAAAAAAACTATCCAATTACTCTAAGATCCAACCTTGTGGTTATCACATCGCATGTATTGAATACTTGACTCGACTATTGTCGAGTGGCTTTCAGCCGTTCGTTTCACCATATTGCCTAATATAACTACAAAAGTGACTTTTACAAGGTCGAAAGTACGTGGATTTTTGTTCATAAATGTATTAAATAGTCGTGATTAATAAAGTACAAAGCCAGTCAATTAGCTACAAATACTTGCAGAGAGCTAGGTATATGTAATTAAGTTCAGCATGATTTATCACCTCAGAATATAAACTATTTTAAAAAACAAATATTAAAAACTCTCCTAAAATAATTACAACAATAATAACAAATATGCAGATAGTACACTATTTATGAAAACATTAATCTCACTTAGTATCTCGTTAAATAGGTATATTTAAACTAGATACTCTGTATAAAGAGTAAATACGAAGCTAAACACACTAGGCCAGTTAAATAAAGTTTACTTTACGTGGAAAGTATCCATACGAGAGTCGACGCAAATATTTGGCTAATGTCAGTATAATTTGGATAATGAGCAAATAGATTTTTTTAATAAATATTTAAATCTAGTGTAAAATGTTTGTTATAATTTACTTAGATAAAATGGAATAAGTTTACTTAACGAAGCAATATTTTGTTGTGTGGAAACACTCTGCCCTGGTGAAGAAGCGCTTTCTCTGTATTGCGGATACGGTCAACTACTCTGCATGAGAAGTTTAACGCTCTCTTAACACTTCATATGAATAACTATTCAATGAAATATTGAAATAAAAAACGGCACGACTGCAAACAAATACAAGGTATGCAGAAAAAGCTTTCGGAACTCAAAACTTACGTTTTGTGAGGAACATTGTTCGGCTATCCTATATATAAATTATTACCACTTCTAAAGGCAGAGTTGACGACCATTCACCTAAAATTACTATGTTATTTGTTAATTTATTAATCATTTAACATTTAGAATCACACAATGTTATTCATTTTGCAGACACAAATTATGCGAGATGTTAAAAAGATTTCCATATAATTTAATCGTAACTTACATAGTGATAGCACCAATCCATATGTGAATATACTTTGAAATATTAGAAATTTCTAAAGTACCGCCACATAACCACCATCATTTACTTTCATACCACTTTATTTGTCATGCTGTTTTTAATTGAACATAATTATTATAACACGAATTACCCGATCCTAACTTAATAAATAATGATTCTGTATAAAGTCGGATTTTGTAGACACCTAAATGTAACCATATTTTCCAGATTTTGTATGATTGTATTGGCACATCAGAGGCAGTAAAGCCATGTTTCGTTGTCCTGACAGAGTCATAAATTAAATTATACGTATAAATGCAAAAAATGGCAATATGTTATCAATTTTACAATCGCAAACTTTCTCCATTTGTAGCAATTGAAGTCGCAACCTTGTGCGACCTTGTATCATGCAAACACAATTCGTGAAATCACTCAAATAATAAAATGAATGAACAAAAAAGGTACAATCGAAATGAAATAAATAAATAAATACGTAATAAATTATCCGCTCCAACGATTACGCAAACAATCCAAACACTCTTGCACGGGATATGTAAAATTCATATTTATATTATGAATAACAATTATTACAACAGAAACTTACTGTTAATGCGCACCTACCCTACACTTTAGACGTACATTGGAATGATACATTTTCAAAAGAATGTTAACATTTTTTAGGAAAAATTATGATTGAATTACTTATGATAGCTTTTGAACACTGCAAAATGTCATTTAGAGAATCCCAACTAAGGATTAGCAAGTAATTGGCAATAAGGCAGGGAGTGTTTGCGTATCCGCAGTGGCGCGCGGAGCCGGCTCCCTACTACTAAATGAACTCATATCTAACATTGTTCCCGAGCTGGTCCCACCCATGACGATGGCTTGTGAACTTGCACCTTGCTCTCTAGCGGACACTACAATTTCAACTAAAAGAACAAGGCATTCTACGTATTTTCCACAGAACAGAATGCGAATACAATAAATAATATTACAACTAGAGAGTCAAGCATGCTATTTGTGCCACATTTTGCACTTCAACAAGACTGGAATGTCACTTATTGATTTGGGAAATAGCCGTCCTTGCAACAAAGACAGCTGAAAACGGACTTTAGGAGTCGACACAACATCAATCTACCTTAATTTAATGCAACATTTACAAACGTGTATGTGACCAGATGTTTCACAGATTGATATTTCGTGCCTTAACAAAACAATATCTTCTTATGATAATTTTTCCCCTAGGTTTTAGTCATCGGGCGGAATGCAGAAATCCACAACTATGTTGAGTATTATTACATTAAGCCTTCAATATATACATAAGTCAATATGCCTATAAATAAGTAAATAAAATGGATTTATTAAACGTGAGCCTAGTACGACATGCACGCGGTGGTGACGCGGCCTATGCTATGCACTCACTTATAGTAGATGAACATTACTCTATTTTAACAGCTAGCGAAACAAACAATTCGTATCATTCTATTAAGTACCAATACGATTACGTTTCATAAATTAGACAGTCCTTCGTTGATTTTAACACTATGTGTTTCACAACAAACTTAATTATATGTTTGGTCTTCCTTACATGTAAGTCACCATAATGGAAGAAACTTTCACTGGAGAGAGACTAGCGCGTTGACGACACGCTACTCGGTAGCGGTCGGCTTTAAATGTGTGCTATTTAATACATATACTTTATGTAAGTCCGCACTATATAACACGCAAAGATCGTTGGGACCTTCAGTTTGAAGAAAGCGGCGGGAGTAAGATCAAGAGATGGAGCTGCACTCGTTAGCAATTGGAAATCAAAGTGCCTGCGTCGTCAGAGAGCGAGACCGCGGTGTTGAGAGCAAGCAGGCAAGGGTCAAGTGGCGTCGAATTCAATCTTGTCCCAGGAGTAGTGCTTGCGTGCGGGTCTCGGCGCCGGCCGCGACAGCACGCCGCCCAGCAGCGGGTCGCATTGTGGCACATGCCCGCGCCCGAAGTGGTTTGGAATTATCTCCGTGTCCATGTAGTCGTACCCATCGCTATCTACGTTCATGTTCAAACCAAAGTCCGACACTAGATCCCTGAAGTCAAACTCGCGGGGCCGCTCCTCGAACGTCCCAAACGTGTCTTGTCGGGAATCCTCGTTCTGGAACGACGGCAACGATAGATCGTCCATGTCGTCGAAACCGGGGCGATGGTGATCCAGAATTTCACCGTTGGTCAGTGGTGTCATGCTCATACGCTCGGGCGGATCCTCGGTGATATCCATCGCCGTCTGCGACCGGTCGTCATGATTGCCCGAGAGTAAACTACGGAAAAAATCGTCGTGGACTGAGGCGGGATCGGATCCTTCGAAATCGCGGATTTCATCATTCATGAGCAGATCAACATTGAGGTCGCCGCCAATGTCGTCCGTAACAGTGTCACTGTCATTGACGGCGTGACACATGATCTCATTCTGGATGTCATCGAGCTCTCTCTGCAGATCGTCGGGCACGAGAGCATCGCGAACATGTGCGTCAGTCAGCACGTCGGCCGGTGAGAAGGCATTAGCGTTAGGGAGGTAACTTTCGAGGGACGGATTGGGTGCTTCCACCACGGCTGACGGGGGCAGCTCGCCGTTCTCAACGAGAATCTCGAGGACGTCGTCCATTATTTGACTGTCCTCAGTCTGATCGTGTAATGTAGCGACGGGAATCGAGGGCGGCGGAGGCGGTGGCGGCGGCGGCGGCGGCGGCGGCGGTGGAGGAGCCGCTCGCTCGGGCTCATAGTGCGTCGGAAGAATAGCAATAGGAACCACCTTGACGCCGTTGAGGATGTATGCCGGGTTAGTCTTCGTCGGTGCTTGGTCGGCGGGAGTGTCGGTATTGGTAGGTGGAGTGACGGTGAAGAGGCGCACGAGGCGTTCAGGGGTGGCATCGGAGGCAGCAAGGACGTAGCGCGGTGGAGGGGCAGGCGCGGGCGCGGGCTGCGTCAGCGCGTCGAGCTGCGCGCGCAGCTGCGATACGCAGATGTGGGCCTGCAGAAGCCGCCGGCTCTGGTCGCTGGCTGCTGCACCAGCCGATTCACGCCGCATTGACTCCAGCTGTTGCCGACTCGCTTCTAGTTTCCGCTCTAATTCCTCAATCTGCCGTCGTTGGGATTGTACTATGTCTTCCGCCTCTTCTACCCTGGGGTCAGGCGAAGCGATGGACGTTACCGAGGGCACTGACGAGACGACTGATGAAGTAACGGAAGCAGGTGATCGCGGCGGTTCTTCAAACTTCTCTGTGAGGAACGATCGCAGTCGGTCGATGAGCTGCGGTTTCGGGCCTGACACTCGCAGATTCCGACGTTTACATTCCGCACGAAGATCAGATACCTGTTGGAAAACATTTAGAGTATTAGAAGTGTTTTGTACGTTTGAAATACGTTCATAAAGGACGCAAGAATACAGTTACTCTTTCTTACACATAGCTTTGTTTCCCTGCTATTCACATGTCAGTCAGCGACGGCTTTTAATTTCCGACAACTAGATCTCAGTACAAGGTTATGATGTATACATATAATATCATTGTGGCCCAGGAGCGACCGTTCTCTATTAAATTATTACTGTATTCTGTAGTAATACCTTCATGTCCTCGAACCGAGAAGGTGGCTGTGGTGGTGGTGGCGGCGGCGGAGGCGGGTGATCGGACGCGTCAGACGCCGCGCTGGCCACAGACGTCGCCGGTGACGCGGGCAACATCAACTGTAGTAGTAGCTGTTGCTGTTGTAGCAGCAGCTCGTATGGCGTCTCTGAGCTGTCGGGGGGTGACGACGCTTTTTGGGCGTTTGGAGGACCTAACAAAATACTTGCATCTTTATTTAGAGAACTAGTACTTACTAACGTACAAGACAGATTGATAGATAACTAGACTAAATGGTAAACATTAAATAATTAAAAAATTAGGCAAAGGTTCCAATATTGCATTTAAGCATTTAGGACTATTATCTTTTGAATTTATATATTCGTATTTTAATCCACAGTCTGTCTTTTTTGAAGATAGAGTTAAAACACATTTGCAGGGTTGCCAATTGTCGGGAAAATCTAAATAGTCATGTAGTTGTTGTCGACAGTTTTATCGATAGATTGTGAAAAAAGGTAAAATGTTGCCAAAAATGTCTAAATTGTGAATGTTACGACATTCTAATGATTGCTAATTGCGTTATAGCCTTCTTTATAACTATGTTGACAGTTAACATAGTAATTTCTAGAAATCAATATTTATTCATATACAATTTAATAAGAATAGGCGGATTTAATTATCTACACAGAATTAAAATTAAAAACTTTAAAAATATGTGTCCTCTTTGTATTTTAATAGACATAGTTCTAAATGCAGTGTATGTATGTATGAACTTACCAAAATTGAGTTTAAATAACCTGTACCCAGTAGTTGGAGTTTGGTTGGAATAAATTATAAATGTTAATATTTACTATACAGTACACACGCCAGCACATCAAGCTACACATTGACGTATCTTGTTCATTTGCATTAGAGGCGATTTTCGATCAAAAATGTGTGTAGTCTGATACATGATTTATTATTATATCATACAAAATTTTACTTAATATTTATTATAAATATTTATTATATTTTTCTCTGTAAAGTGTTTTATTTTGACATTTTAAGTTCCAGATATGTTTTGTTGATTCATTCAGTCGGTGGCGTCCACTCCATTGCTCGGTCACCACAGAATATCAGCGTTGTGTTGTTTTGCATGCAGAACCCGACAAATGCTGAGTGGTGACAATTTTGGATATCAATGTTTAATATTAACATTTACTTTGTATCATTAGTAGAGACTAAATAAATATTATTTTCTTTCTTTTCTTTCAAAATAATGAATCGATGACGATTCATATAAGAAGTTCGGTTATTTATTGCATAAGCGTGATCAACGCTCAGTCGATAGTCGATAGAATATTTATCGATTGCAATCACTAGCTGCTTCTAAGCGGGCAACACTTTTGCACAAGGAACTATCATTTTACTCTATGTTCAAAAAAGACAGACTATAACTTGGAAGTGTTGTGTGCCCAGGAAAGACGTAGTGAGTGTAGCAGTACTGCTGACCGGTGTTAACAAGTTGAAGTGTTGTTATTTGTTGTTACAATTTGTTTTATAAAACCGTTATGAAAATTTGGCGAACAATTGTCCAGAATAAAATCGCTAATTTCCATGGTTGGTAGGCTAGCAATCATTTTGCTTATACGGGTTGGACTTTTGTAGGATTGGGGATTTATAGGATTGGGGTTGTATTCTTTAAGGTTTTCTTTCAAACATGCACTTTCTTTGAATTCCTATAACAACTAGTTGTCTAGGTATAATTAATATATAATTACCTTTGTACTCATGAAACTTGAACCGCGCCTTGGGCTGTTGTTTCTGCTTGTTTTTCTTACGGTTCTTGTCTTTACCGGGTGCGGGGTGCTGCGGGGGGGACGCGACACTGGCCGGGGACAAAGTTGACGGAGGTGACGGGGAGGGAGACACCTGGAATATCAACTGTTTGGTGTAATTTACATTGTACTATGAAAGGACAAGTAAATATATTAGCAGCATTACAATACATACATATACTTCACGCCTTTACAAAATTATTATAATATAATAGAAACAAACATACTTATGGAAACCATCACGTGAATGACCGTGACAACAATAATAATGTTTACCCACTACCAACTCATATTAAGTTCAATATTCTTATTTCTTTCTCTTACTCATTATTGTACCATGGCTAATTTGCACTACTGTTACCGTCCTTTGAAGCCTAGAATGTTGAACCTATTTAATTTGGTCCTGTTACTAAGTATTCCAACTTATATAAGTTATTTCCTTACGGAATGTATGTATAATGTGGTATTTTTGATAATAGCTGCATAAATAGTGCAATCAATATTCAAAAATGTAATAAATTTCCTGCTTGTTATTTAGACAATTTGTGCAACCGGCTTTTAGCAAAAATAGTTTACATTGTAATTAAATCTCATACCATTTAATGATATGCCTATACTGACGTATATAAGCTGTCAATTTTTGATATTACAAATGCAGGATCGATCAAACAAGATGTTTGTACTTTAATTATAGGTTTCAGCAATTAGTATTACGGTTTCAGTTTTTGCTAGAACCTCTGTAAATGTTTAAGAGTGATTCTCTATATTATTTCAAACGTGTGAATGATGGCACTGGTTGTAGTAGCAATGTAGAGATTCTGGAAATTCGTCAAAATTGAAAATACTTTCATTCAAAACTTGGAATTGAATAATCATTAAACCATATTTGTACATTACAGTACAATTTACTGGCAATGTCTTTTAAGCAATATAATATAACTAATGTAAGGTTCAATATTTAACAAAGAATTTTGACAGTTTATACTTGTAGTCCACAACAGAGGAAGAAGAAAGTTGTCTTACCTCATCAGGTGGTCCGCAATATGAAGACGGATGTTGCGGTCTCCCAGAGGCTCCTTCACTCGTAGCCTTAAACGCTAAAATGCCACTCTTGACTGCAGTTTCGATGGTCTCTTCTGTATGCAGTATGTTCTTCTTTATTAACTCTAGCGGGCCGGGCCTGTGAGACAGCTGATCATTCAACTGGTCCGCTAACCGAGCCTTCTTGAGCATGCGTTGCTTCTCTGCTAGACTCGGATCTACATGGCTTTCCTGAAATAGACATGTGTTGTTAGAACAACAAATGGAAATTGCTTGGTAATTCTTTATTTTAAAAGTAAATTGACCAGGGAATCATGTCTAAACTCAAGCAGTCATTAAGAAATAAAAATACCCCAAAAGTCATGTCTTAAAAAGACCGTGTTCCATACACATTTATGAAATTTACGCTCTCTTTAGCTTGATCTCAATTTCTTTTTGATGTATCATTATTCGCTATGATATTGATGAAATATCGTGTAATATACACAACATTTCATCAATGTCAGTATCAATAAATTTAATATGTATAAATTTAAGTTTTTATTTGTAAACATTATTACATTTTTCAACATGTATAAGCATGTAAGTAAAACTTTAACTTTAGCTCAAATCAGTAAGCATAAATGAAAAGTGGTTTAAAATTTACTTGTAAGTTAACTTGTTGAACTAAATATGCATACTCATATACAAAGATTAGTAAAAATGGCTATTGATATAATAATAAAGGTATTATGACAATAATATAATAGTACAAAAGAACATACTTGTTCCAAAATATGTCTTCGTTCTAATTCTTGGCGATCAGGTCGCCGTTGTATTTTTGCCTTCAGCAAGTCGCCAGTTTTCGCTCTCTCCAGTTGTTTGCATTGTTCAAAATACGCAGGCGGTGTTTTCAACGCTGAAACGACAAAGTCCAATGATAAATAACTAAAAAATATTATATATCGTGTTTGTACAGGAGCCTATTTTTGTGTAAAATTAAAATTAGGTCGAACACATTTATCAAATTAAGATTTGCACTAAATTTCATCTAAAATCGTCTCATGTATCATATAGACGTACTTACTACATTGTCATTCAGATTCATTTATAATATAATATTAATTTTGATTTCAAACAAGTTTATTTTTGGACTGCAACCAATAAAGATTCGATGTGGGGTTCAACGTTATCAATGTCCGTATGATATATATATATATCATACGGACATATCTATCTATGTAATAAAATATAATAAAATAGATATTAATTTCTTTTTGTATTGGCAAGTTGGGAGCCCTCATTAGCAGCAACGTTTGGATCGTAAATAAATTCTTCCACCCACGCGCGTCACACGAGCGGCGGTGGCTATGGCGTGCGCGGGCGGCGCCTCCCCGAGATTCGTCATTAACGCCGTTAATTGCTATTCTACAAATTGCATTTAGCCACTGCCGGTCGTTCGATTGTCAAATAGCTCTAAACAAATAAAACGTATTTTGATACTCACGCGGCATTATACCCTGAGCCACCAGCTGGTTGATGGGTCGCCGCATCATCAACTTCACCTTCAACGCTGTCCAACAAAAACCAATAATAAATGCATTATAACAACAATCGAATTAAATTTAGTCATCTCGTCCAAAACACAACACTAAAACAGTCCGATTTTCCTCGACATTATCCAACTGTTTTTCCTGAACTTAAAAAACTATAAATTATACAGTGTTAGGAGATGCGAAATGGAATAAATGGAATCGAGTGTCCAGTGAGGATACTGATGTTGTAATGCCGACGTATACCGAGTGCCTTTTGCATACAACAATAACTGCTGATTGAATAGCTGGCACGTATCGAAGAATACGGCGCTATGACGCCAGGTGACGAACTTTGACGTAGCATATCGATACGTTGATCGATGTGATTATATCGACATAGTCGGCAGATGAGCGTAGGCGCAGAGCGCTATATTCTTGTTTGCGTGTAGACGGACGGACAACGCTGGCGAGAAGCCAACATAAATAAACACTGCACAAGGAAACTAGTGTTATGCCGCGACCGTAATACAGACGAAACATTCACTACCACTGGGCCGAATATTGTGGGTTACTGGGCGTCCAGATTGCGATACTCCTCGCTACAGTCACTCGCAAACTTCTAGACTACAATATAACGTGTGAAGGATTTCAAAAGTTTCGATGCTTGTGTATGATTTATGTTCCTAAGCTTACGATCTTGATATGAGCGTGAGGTAATAAAAGTTTTATTTCTATTTGTATTATTTCTGCACCTACGCTAATTTCACGATATCTTTATTTATGAAGGACTTTTGTTATTATAAAAACGTGTAAGTGGAACATTCAACGCTGTAAAGACTACGTAATACAGCATTTCCGTCGCACATAAGGGACATTCGAAAACCTATACGAAAATTTTTAGCATGAGCTGTGGACTATCTGTATGTCAATATTTATCTGTTTTGAAAATTCTTCAATACTTGTTTTGAAAATGCTATATGATGTGTATAGGCCTGGTATGAGCAAATTGATTTAATATGGCGGTGATGACAAAGATCGTATAGGCTTGGGCGGTTTGTTTATTCCGACAGACAAGCCGCGAAATATGGCCGGAAATGTGATTACGCGAGACTTCTGGTGAGTTGCAGAAAATCTTCGAATAACTATTATCTATCTGCTCTGTGAAAGATGAAACTTCACGTTTTCAAGGTAACTAAGTTGAGGTCTATAAAAATATGTTACAGTGACATTACTTCAGATATCAATTATGCGTGTCAACAAAATTGTTATAGTCCTCCGGAACGCGAAAGACAAAGAAAAAACCCCAATGTAGCCAGTAAAGCAAAACAAGCATTAAAATTAAGTGCCACGGGTTCACAAAGAAATAACGGTTTTGCGCATGAATATAAAAATACTATATTAACATTAATAAATCTATGTGCGCTTAATAGGTTAGATATTTACAAAACCATGAGATATAGCGTGCAAACGATGAAACCTACATTTAGTGATGAGCGGGTTACGGATGTCATTTACTATTAGTTACACTTGGGAAAAGAGTATACCAACATGGCGTACCATAATACAATATCATATCGGAGTCATACGGGTGAAAGGTTAACTTTTATATCGACTTGAAAAGTGAAAGTCGCCTTTCCAGATTAGTGCGTATGGTAGATTTTCCCAGAGAACCAGAAGTAACGTACGATGTCCCAGTTCGCATGAGAACATTCTTTATTCATTCATTCATATTTAATTTTCTTGATTATAATCTGACAGCATGGCAAAGGCGTTAACGGAATAAACAATATTGTAAGATTTCGAACTTGGCTACCAGTAGGAAGACTGTGCCGTACATAAGGTGCTGTAGGATTTGCTTGATTTTTGACGATCGACGACGAAATGTGTAAAAAGCAGAAGATTGTTATCATATTTTCTGTAGGTCGACGCGTGTCGATCGTCAAAAAACGAGGTAATCTATAGGCACTTTAAGTGACGAGACATCATGATGTTTTTGCCAATAACTGTTTGAAAAAATAAGTAAGCAATGTATGTCAAAAATCTGGACAAAGTGCATCAGAACAATTGTAAGTCAATGATCAGAACGCAACTTTATTTTTAACCGACTTGAAAAAAGGAAAGATTCTCAATTCGACTGTTTTTTTCTTTAATATATGTTACGCGATTGCTCCGATATTTGTGAACCGATTTTGATGATTTTTTTTTATTGGAAAGAGGGTACCTCAGTAGTGGTCCCATTTAAATTTTTAAGCAAATATTCCACCTCTAAGGGTGGCAAACTAGGGTATGAATGACTTTTGAGGTCGGTTTTTTAGTACTCTGTACTGAGATTATTGTTCTAATTCTTTTTACGAAGCATTATAAAGATTGGTGCCTATTGTCAATAGCTGAGTGAGATAACGGGTTGAATGAGTTCAATTATAAATTCACATCGAGCACAACAGACACTAAGACCGCAAGTTTCACATAAATGGCTGCGTTTACGTACAGCTGTAAATATTGGTCTACTTTATGATCCGTAGTTAAATCTCAACGCCATAATCAATGTATTTTACGTTTTCTTTGGTACGGTCTCGTAAAAAGTATAACGTTTGTTTGCAATTATAATTAGATTTAGCGAAACTAGGACGGCTACCTCAATTCTCGGAAAAAAGTAAATGGCTATTTTTCGACTGTCGTGAAGTCGTGTGATGGACTTTAATTCGCACTTTATTGGAATAAGTCAGAATTTGTTCATATTCAGCTGTCACGATATACGAAAATTTTTACTCTGTGCTACCATTAGGGCGTGCTTTACTCACAGTATTTCGGTTTCACCCCATCTTATATGGCGTTAATACTGATTAACGCCATATAAGAGTCAAGATACATCAGCATTCCATTTTTGTTTTATATTTGCTGTACACTCATGGTGTTCTACGTGAGTTGTTTTCGAAAGTACTTTATTTAATGGGCTGATTATAAATTAAATACCGCATTCGACATACGTGTCGGTAATGCCAGTATTGCTTTGTAGTTTGACATTTAATCAATCCCAATCAGAATTAGTATCATTGGCTGACATTTATACATGTATCAGTAGTCCATAGTAAAACAAAAAGGGAACAATGAAGTTTCGTCTGCATATGCAACGACTCTGTTCAATATGTATTAACGACTCGCATTTTACGCGGGTTTCTTTGATCTGCCTGTCATCATCGCCAGAAAAATAATATTTCTTGTGCAAAGTTAGACTTTGGTAGTCTAACGGTTTACGATGTGGATGTCTAATGAGAAATCCCGTATTCGATTCCTAGTAGAACTAATTTGGGAAACGAACTTGTCTAAATTCGTACTGGTTTGAGTGTACGTAATTTGAGACCAGGTAATACGTGTGATGACACGGCAACTACAAATACCGACAATAGCCTCTTCGTCTAATTTGAAACCCTACCTGATATTTAGTTTAAAACGTCAAATTGTATACATTTTCAAAACCCATTCTTATCTTAAGCTTCGAAAATTGAAATAAATTCCGCTATGAACATCAATCTGACTTTGAAATTAGACGTTTTGGTCTCAATACATGCTATATACTTATAAAACCAATGTAACTAATCTTAATTTGCGGCCAGTGTCATTGACCATACAGTGCGAAAAGTAAGGGTGACTAAGAAATCAACCTTATGATAAAGTTACTTACTACAAATTTTTTTCGTGATTTTTAGTTTGATTATAAAAATACCGACAATGTTATTAAAAATGAATGAGATACTAACATTCCTTATGCTTGCCCATAGCGGGCTGCAGCGGGCTGTCGTCGACGACGACTTTAGGCGGGGAGACGCGTGGCGAGCTCGGCGGCTCGCTTGCGCCGCTGTTGCTTGCCTGCCGACCTGCCATCTCCTCGGCGCCTGAACTGTCGGTTGAAAATTATCCATTATTACACGAATAACAAAATACTTAACAAAATCAATGATATAGGGCATTAAGACCCGTTTCGATCTATCACAATGTTCACATCGATTTATCGCTACTCCATTGGCGTTCAAGTTAATAGTTAACGACATACACATACAGTATCGATTCGTCGTTTTGATCGGTCTAAAATGAGACTGTGATGACAAATAAAAGTAACTGCTCGACATTTATGAGACACAACGTGTGTTAGCATTAGCATAATACCACTTGATGTTAAAGGTATAGTAGAGGTTCCTACCTGAAAGTGTCGTCTGAGGGTGGAGTGTGGGGCGTGCACGGCGAGGCCGGGGAATGCGGCGAGACAGGTGACCGAGGCGAGGCGGATGAGTGAGGCGAGGCGGCGCGGCTCGCCTCGCGCCGGTGCTGCGGCTTGAACCACTCGGGGTAGATGGCGCTCAGCGTCTCCACAAGGTCGTGGTCCAGCGTTACTCGCCACGATCGCCGCCCCTCCGACCCCTCCGACCCGCCTCCGCCGCACGACGAACGGCTCTCTTAACAAACAAATAACACGCGCATGTTAGCATCAGCTATTTATAAACACATTGCTGAATTTTAATCGCTACTTCAACAATGCCAATTTTTAGAAAACAGTTTTCCATAAAAAAAAATAAAAATGGTCACTGGCAGCGGCGACGGATGCATTCGGTGTTGGCATTGACAGGTAGCGGAGAGAATACTAGTATGATTTTGTTTATATACGTGATTTGGAAGATGTTTACGAAAATTTTAAACCAGGAAATTAATGTAATTATAATTACACATTTTTCAATACCAATACCATTATGTTAAAGCGTGTATGGGATATAAGGTAACAATGATGGAAGATCATCAACATTCATGCGATGAAAATGGAAGTGAATTAATTTGTTACTCCACGAACCTACTGAAGGTTAAATCGTGTAAAAAGGCTGCGCTTGTGTTGAATATATTTAAAGCAGTTAATTTTCCCACCTTTCCTCCGCATAAACTTAAAAATAACACAACAGCAACAGTCACAAACACCTCCACCAAAAATATACAACACCTCCTCATCGGGGCATCCTCAGGTGTCGTTGATTGTTCTACGCTCGGCCGCAGTTTGCGGAGTAGCAAATTAATTTACTTCCATTTTTATTAACATGCATTTTCGCGAAGTAACGTCTGAATCTATTAACATTCATAAGCTTCATATTGCGGGGTTAATGGATACAGCGAGTCCAAAACCGATATAAATTTTAGGGGCCCACGTTATGCGTTAGCAATAAACTGTTCCGGTTGATGATGATATTGCCGGCACATAAATAATATGTATGAATTGTATTGACCGTTCACACCGCTACCACGATAACGTTACAAATGCGTAACTTTTAGCACTAATACAAATTGCACAAAAAGGCGTTATCAAATCCACAATACTAACAAGGGTAAAAACTGACATTCGTATATTTACACTAGTAGTAGTCCAATGGGAAGTGCGTAAAGGCGTGGAGTTCGCGGCTCAATTAAATGGGTGTGGTGGTTATTAGGCGAGGTTATCCAGCGCACGCGCACCGCGATGTCCCAAGTCAAACTCACCGACGCGTCGGATCTTAATTGTTTCAAATCCTTGAACTTATTTATTGAGGTTAAGGTGCGTTTTACAGATTTGTAGAATTTACACGAGTGGCTATTTGTATTGTACTAAATATACATAACTGATTTTAAAGTGGGGTAACTCAAATTAACTAATATGTTAACTTATTTTATTACAGAGCTGTATTTAGAATGTGCTGAACTTTATTGCGAATAAGCCATCGAGTTTTTTATTTAAACAATTAGTAGTATTGTTTAAAACCGTCTTCTTCCAGAATAAGCTGATTTTGAGATAGGTTGCTATTCTGATATTCAAGAACCTAGGTTCATGATTTTCAAGAGCAAAAGTCTATATAATATCTATAATAATAATATCTTTATTACTAAAAGGCTAGCTTCATAAATGTTGCCTAATGAACTAGTACCACTCTACATAAACAATTTTTATACGGATTTTTTTTACTTTTTATTACGTCTGGGAACTTTAAGATGGGATACATTCAAACTATGATAACTAATTAGCGTTTGCGACATAAGTATAGAACGTTTTATACGAACCAATGCAAAACCGTAGCAGTTCCTATAAACTTTTCACCATTTCCAGCAGCACGGAAAGAAACGATGTATTACGTAATGTTTAAAAATTGCAATAAACCCAAAAATACGAAAGAAATATACAAACATCTGTCCGCTAACGTGAGTTATGTACGAGACTTCAAAATGTTCTAATCAAATTGTTATGTTATACTTTTCCTAAACATTGATGAAGTTATATATTTGTTCCACGCGTTAAGGACAATCAATCGTGTATAAGGCCATAAAACGACGTAACAAACAATGAGTAGGTACCTAAATATTACACAACGGCCAAGTAAAACGTCTGTTACGCATCTTTACGTAGTTATTACTGAATACAGTTTTGTAAACAAACTCGCGCACGTGCGAGCTGTGTACCACCATCCACCACCGCTGACTCATTGCAAAGTTTGCTGCGAACAACATCATAAGACAACTGCTACTTAAAATTCACACAGCAGTGATGAAAGCTGGTGTTTGTCAGCATAAAAAAAATTTGTTAATGGTACTGTAGTATACCTTGTCCAGCATGCATGTTTCTTGCCGATTTTTCTTCATCGATAAACCAACTCATCCATATAAAAAAATATAATTAAAAAAATAAATATAAAATATAATTAAGAATAAAATATCTCCAAATTAAAGATATAAAAGTTTGCACGGTAATTAATAAATAAAAATATGCGTTTTAAATGTGACTCAATTTGCCGGTACATTGCCAAGTTCCAACTATATGTGCATCTTCAACGACCTTGCGACAATCGTAAGAAAGTACCTTCGTCTCGATGGAAACTAGCGTATACACAAATTATACGACTTGTTTGTATGTCACCGCTAGTCATCGGCACTGATTTGTCCCGTGTAGCCGCAACCCACACATCTTGTATCATAACTTTGGCATCACACAACAGCTCGGTTACTTAGTCAATCGGTCAATGAGAGTCACGTATTCTAGAATAGTTTCCATCGCTATAAATACACACCAATTAATGACACGTGCATGTATTTTTACTTTTATCACGTGAGTTTATTTGGTGAAAAAGTTCTTTATATCTCTTTATTTTATATTTGAAACAAGTGAAGTGAATTTGCCGTGAAGTCGGTCAAGGCTTGTCTGGAGTTAATAGCTAAAATAAAAAATAAAACAAAATAAAAAAGGGCGTGTAGTCGCACGCGCGTTACACATCAATCAAAATGTCAACGTGAGGAAGACGAGCGGCACAGACGCCGCAACGGCTTCTTCTATTTACGTGATCTTGGATTTAAGGCTCAATTTCGCAATTAAATTATATTCTTTAATAATTCTAATATATTAAATAAAGGCAAACAACAATACTGAACAATCTCAGTACAGAGTACTAAAAAAACCGACCTCAAAAGTCATCCACCCCCTAATGTGCCATCCTTAGAGGTGGAACATTTTCTTCAAATTTAATTGGAACCACTTCTTCTCTATCCAACAAAAAAAAACATGTCGAATTGTGAACCTGTTCCTTTTTTGAAGTCTATTTTATAGTTAATAACTAGCCCTCATTGCAATAATAATAGTCAGCGTTGTTTGGGCGTTTTAAAACTGTTGTTTGAAAGTGATTTGCTAAGCGTCTATAGTAGACCTTGGTTTGAATGAATGAAGTTCCGCGAGGGTCCACGTCACGTCAGGAGGCTGTGGCGGTGACGTCAGGTGTGCACACGGCACTGGTTCACGCGTAGGCGCAGCCACCTGCTGTGCCCACGCAAAGGAGTACGTTTATAATCTGGCCGATGACGCTATCACATTGATTACTTATTGTAGGGCTTATTATTTGTTTGCGATACAGAAAATATACAAGAACTACACGATTAATTTAATTTCTTACAACTGTGTCAGCAGAAATAAGATCCAAATAACACAAACATTATAATATATAGGTCGCGTCCAGTTGTTCGGTGTATCAGCCGCCCGCTTTCATTAAGGAGACTAGTTTATTCCAAGACAAACAGAATAGTTGCAATTCCCATAGTGAAAAGCTAAATATGATTTGTGGCCCGAATCTCGGGTGCGAGAGACGACAGAGTGGCGTGGTGAGTGGCGAGTGACCTCAATACGCCGCTACGGTTAGTACAACATATTCCGCCGCACCTGTCATTTTGGACTAGCAAGTTTTCACGAAGAACTCTATTTGCTGAATGTAGCAATTGAACTGTGTTAAAAATGTTTTGGTAGAGTCCATTTCCCGTCCCAGATATAACATACACATAGGCCATATTTGTTGAATTTGAAATATGGGTGTCAATATATGAAATATTGTTGGTGTTGATATATTTTGCTATAGTGGCGACCATAAAAACTGAAATAAAGTTATCCTTCTGCTAAATTAGCGACTAGTAGGGTTTTTATTCCGGTAATCTCGGTCTCGAAAATTTCGAGAATCTCGACCATGTTTTTGGCATTTTCGAAACTCGAGACTGATGTTTAGAATCTCGGGAATATCAAGACAAAAATAACTTAAGTCGCTTAAATAGAAAGTATTAAAAATCTAATAAACCAACAGAATTTTCTTATTCTGGTTACATCCTCATAGTAACACTGTAGTGGAGCCTAGTATAATCTGTGGAAATTGAAGAACAAAAGTAACAAACTCAGGTCCTCTCTATCTGAAAATATATTTGTTTCTTATAACCGTACCCAAGTATAAAAATGAAAAAATAACTTTCATAAATAACTTCTCATTTTATAATTTGTGTTAATAAAGAACATATGTATATTATCATGTTTTGACTGCCAGTAAGTATGGAAACCGAAAGTCTCGTTTTTCCGGGATTTCCGAGACCGCACCGAGACTCGACATTTTTTTCCCGGGACACAGAAAGGTAGCGACACTGAAAGCTTCCTCTTAAACGGCATGTTTTAAGCGAGGAAGAACGGAGCGTATTTACATGGAGGTAGGAAGAACTGATTATACTAACTCGTTCTTAATATGATTCATGTATTCGTCTAAAATAAATAGCCTAAACACTTACTGAAGACACTTTCAAATGCTTTTCCACAAGCAACTGCTTTAAATTTGGCAACAAGATACAAACCCTTTTGGAGGATGAGAGAAACAACTCATATTTATGATGAATGGCATAAATCTTCCACTTCGCATGAGTCATTGTTTGGATGGATTAGTGCGCATTTTAGCAAAAATCAACAAACGCCGCGTTGTTTATCTCAAGCAGTTTCGTATTGCATCAATGCCCAACGCCTAAAATTTTTCTTTAACACAACTATTTTTTATCCCAATCTACAAAACTCAACTAGTTACTTTGAGGAACTTCTTCCTCAGAGTAACTAGTTGAGTTTTGTACAAAAAAGTACTTTTTTTTCCAAACAAATTATTTT